ACTGAGATCCAAATCCTTGAGATCCAGGCTGGTAAAGTTTTTTTTTTTTTTTTTTTAATTTAATTCCATGACCAGGAAGGTACTCATGAGAGCTAAGCAGATGAAAGGCAGGTACTGAGGTCAGATTCAGTAAGGTTTATGTAGCAGTCACACACAGGACTTATTCGAGCTGGAAGAAGGAGAGCCCATCAAGTTTCCGCAAAATGAACAAGTACTAAACTGAGGTTGCTGTATAAATGTGAGTCTGCAAGAAGGAATGAGGTTTGGGGGTGTGGGAGAATTAAGATAACACTGGGAAAGGACTCTAAGTCCTGCCAAAGAGATGTCTGCATATTCATTTTTACTGCAACACCATTCACGACAGCAGAAAAATGGAAGAGAGCCATCGACAGCTCATATAAAGGAAACTGTGATGCTGTGGGATGTTCTGTATGGCAAATGTGTTGCTAATTAGTCAATAAATAAAACACTGATTGGCCATTGGCTAGGCAGGAAGTGTAGGCGGGACAAGGAGGAGAATAAAGCTGGGAAGTGGAAGGCTGAGTCAGAGAGACACTGCCAGCCGCCATGATGACAAGTCACATGTGAAGATGCCGGTAAGCCACGAGCCATGTGGCAAGGTATAGATTAATAGAAATAGATTAATTTAAGCTGTAAGAACAGTTAGCAAGAAGCCTGCCACGGCCATACAGTTTGTAACCAATATAAGTCTCTGTGTTTACTTGGTCAGGTCTGAGCGTCTGTGGGACTGGCAGGTGAGAGAGTTTGTCCTGACTGTGGGCCAGGCAGGAAAACTCTAGCTACAAATGGCGTCCAACGTGGTGGCAAGAGTTTCCACCTAAAACCCGAGAAAAAAGATTCTAAAACGGAGCTAAAAACAGCTTCCTAATTGTCTCTCTCAAATGAGCGGCAGCTGCTGGTTTGAGCTACTGGCGGGTTCCTGGTGTGCGAGCTCGACCTGTGGCTGTATGGCGGGAATGAGGCCTCTGCAAGTGGCACATTAAGCTGCATGGTGGATTTAGCCTTTGCAGGTACAAAACAAAAAAAGAAGTTTCTGGGCTACACGCTGCTTGGATAAAAGCATAGACCCACGATAGCTCCCAAAGCTGGCAGTAAATGTTGGGAAGCTGAGGTGGGCAGAGCCAGCAGCCACAGCTGCTGCAGCTTAAAGCAATAGATTCACAATAAGACAGATTCAGATGTAATAGTTTACAATGTGTGTAAAAGATACGTAGGCTTGAAAGAGACAAAAAAGGTGATATATACAGTTATAGAAACAAATACATAGTTTTAAAAAGTAAAGTCTTTAACGAGACAGTAAAATTAATATAAAAAATAAGCCATGTAAAGATGAATATTACACAGAGAATCTGGATTGTGTTGTCTTTGGGATTCTTAACTACAGAAAGATATTTGATTGCAAAGGAAGCTGAGTTAAACCAATATGTATATTTTAAAGGTACCTTGACTTCAAAATTTGGATATAAGGATATGTTTCCTTGGAAAGGAATCTCTGCTTTTGTTCCCACAGAAAGCCAGAGGCTATGGATTTGTTCCAGATTAAGATACATAAGGTTTGACCAGCCAAGACGCCCTGAAAGGTCTCCGATGACACCATGGCCCAGATGATCCAACATCCAGAATGGTTTGAAGGCAACTGGCTCAGACGATACAGCCTCATGGACTACTCCATGATCCTAAAATTTTCTTTGTGTCCCCATAAGATACAGCGCCCCCCTCCAGCAGGAAGTAGTAAGAGAAGCTACGCCCAAATTCCCAAATTATATGTAATTTTACTTTAAGGTTAAAACCTTCCTTTTTGAAAAAAAAAGGGGGAAGTGCTGTGGGATGTTCTGTATGGCAAATGTGTTGCTAATTAGTCAATAAATAAAACACTGATTGGCCATTGGCTAGGCAGGAAGTGTAGGCGGGACAAGGAGGAGAATAAAGCTGGGAAGTGGAAGGCTGAGTCAGAGAGACACTGCCAGCCGCCATGATGACAAGTCGCATGTGAAGATGCCGGTAAGCCACGAGCCATGTGGCAAGGTATAGATTAATAGAAATAGATTAATTTAAGCTGTAAGAACAGTTAGCAAGAAGCCTGCCACGGCCATACAGTTTGTAACCAATATAAGTCTCTGTGTTTACTTGGTCAGGTCTGAGCGTCTGTGGGACTGGCAGGTGAGAGAGTTTGTCCTGACTGTGGGCCAGGCAGGAAAACTCTACCTACACTGTGACATGGACACAATAGAATTTTATAGCAGGAAAGAAAACCTAAGCCATGACATTTGCAGGAAAATGGGGGAACTGGAAGTTACTATGTGTCTTAGGGTTTCTACTGCTGCAATGAAACACCATAACTAAAAGCAACTTGGGGAAGAGAAGGTTTATTTGGCTTGCACTTCCATATCACTGTTCATCGCTGAAGGAAGTCAGGGTAGGAACTCACACTGGGCAGGAATCTGGAGGCAAGAGCTGATGCAGGGGCATGGAGGAGTACTGTCTACTGGCTTGTAACACCCAGAACCACCAGGCCAGGGACACCAGACCAGGAGTGGCACTACCCACAATGAGCATTTGCTCAACTGAGATTCCCCCTCCTCTGAGATAATGACAGCTAGTGTCAAGTTCACCTAAAAACTAGCCAGCACACTGTGTTTAGACTAGACACATACAGCATGTTTTCTCTCATATGTGGAATACATATACAGGTGGGGTAAGAGTAGGTTGTAAAACTAAAAACAGGACCATGAGAGCAGAAAAGGGTCTCAAGAGGAGGCTGCAAGAGGGTAGGGAAGGGGGTGAAAGAACAAAGTGGCATGAAAGCAGGAGAGATGGAGGGAGATGGAGGGAGTGGAAGAAGAGGACTTATGGGCAGGAGGGGAACAGGAGGCCAGGGGAGAGAGTGGGGAGAGGATCAACAAACAAACACAGTATTACAGAATGCCCATAATGAAACTCATTACTTAGTATGCTGATCCAAAAAAAAAAAAAAACTAGTGACCAAGACCACTTAGAAATCTAGTGTACACATATCTGAAGGGCAATGGAGGCATTCAGCACAGGGCTCAGAATAAATCAGGTTATACCATACACTTGAGAGTTGTCTTCAAAGAAGTGGTGTGGGGACAAAGAAAACCACCCAAGAGCCAAATTGGCACTGCAGAGGAACAGCGGTGGTAGGGACAACCAACAGCACCAGAGGAGCAAAGTGGGGCAGCGTTCAAGGGGATTGCCCAATCACGGCACCCACGGCACACAAGCCCTTCCTTCCAGAAACTCTCAGAGGCCCTCCTCACACACGTGTGGAGTACACTCCTCCTGACAGCATGGCGTGGCTGCCATCCCTTTTGCTGAGGTAATACCCATTCCAGTACTGGATCTAGAAAAGGGACCTAGAATCAATACTGCCCAGTTTGGTCCTGGCCTGATCTAGTCAGTTTACATTTGGACATGTGGAGTGAAACAGGGCAAGCTGAACTAGGTAATGAGAGAATCTTTCAAGGATGAAGTTAACTTTGTTCATATACATGTCTTTGCAAAACGGAATTTACTGTCATCAGAAAAGCAACAAGAATATATGCGCAGATTTACCACCAAAGAGAAACAAGTAAAAGAGAAGCTAGCAAGGCAACTCTTTGGTGTGTAACAGATATTTGAGAATCAAATCACTGGATACAATGTTAGGTGCTTTCCCTGAAAACAACACTATTCTTAAGATTTTTTTTTTTTTTTTTTTTTTTGGTTTTTCGAGACAGGGTTTCTCTGTGTAGCTTTGCATTTTTCCTGGAACTCACTTGGTAGCCCAGGCTGACCTCGAACTCACGGAGATCGCCTGTCTCTGCCTCCCGAGTGCTGGGATTAAAGGCGTGCGCCACCACCACCCGGCTAAGATTTATTTTTTAATTATGTGTATGTGTGTGTGTGTGTGTGCCCATGTGCGTACTGGTGTCCTGAGTGAGTTCAGAAGAGGCTGTCAAGATTCCTTGGAGCTGGAGTTACAGGTAGTTACAAGCCACACAGGGAAGAGAACCCCAATCCTCTGAGCCCGTCCTTCAAGAGCCGTACAGGCTCTTAAACTCAAGCTTCAACAGTAACTATTCATTTAGACCAAAGAAACATTTCTATCCCTTTGCAGGAACCTTCCAAAACAAACGGTGCGGCATAGGAACTTGCAGCGGAACAAGGGTGAGTTCACTGTTGAGGTGCTCCCAGACCACACGGATGTTTAACTGTAAACATCTCAGCACCCAAAATGGACTTCCATGAAGCGGTTCACAGGGACAACTAAAGTGTTTGTGTATGGTACCAGGGACAAGGCACTGCACATTCCCTCTGCAGAGGTGGGGTTGCAGTGAGAGGCGCCTTTAAAAAGTTAATATTTGGGGCCGGGCGGTGGTGGCGCACGCCTTTAATCCCAGCATTCGGAGGGAGTGGGGGGGGGGGGGCAAAGGCAGGCGGATCTCTGTGAGTTCAAGGCTAGCCTGGTCTACAGAGCGAGATCCAGGAAAGACACCAAAACTACACTGAGAAACCCTGTCTAGAAAAAAACAAACAAAAAAAGTTAATATTTGGACTTGTGCTCCCTCCAAGCACGTTAAATGGCCACAACATTGTCCTGTGAATTCCAAACACCCACGCTGCTGCAGCAGAAAAGCTAATCAATTCCTCTACCCGGAGCCCTGGCACGCAACCGTCACACCTGTGTGACCAGACAAACGATCCCACACGGTAAGTCGGTGGCACGTCCCCAAACTGCACCCAGCTTCCAAGAAAGAAAGTAAATAGGAGTCAAAAGGGAAGAAAAGGCCTGCGAGGTCAAGTCTGAATACAAGACAGGGAGCGGAAAATGAAGGTGTTTTTGCAGAGACGGTGCCAGAGAGCAAAGTAGGAGGACGCCTGCGGCTGCGGACGGCGCTGGCCAGCGGGGACACTCGCGAGCCTTCTCCCCGGGCGAGAGCGGAGGGCGCCCTCCGCCGCTGGCTCGCTCGCTGACTCACCTCGACAGGAGCCGCCACACATCCTGCTGCCCCATGGCCTAAAACCCAGAGCTAAAGCAGAGCGGAGCGACCGGACAGACGGCACGTCAGACCCGCCCACCGCCGACCGGAGCCGAGGAGAGCCGAGGGCACCGACGAGTCCTCCGGAGGGCCAGAGCGGCCACAGCCTGCACTTCCGCTGCGCTACACTGACGGGCGGGGCAACACAAGAGCTTGAGGAAATGAGTCAGAGCAAAGGGCGGGACCAGGGTAAGGGGCGGGGACTAGGGCGGGGCCAGGGCGGGGCTGGGTCAGGAAGCGGGTGAGGGTGGGGCGGGGCTGGGTAAGGGGCGGGGACTGGGGCGGGGCCGGGCCGGGCGAGGAACCTGGCGAGGGTGGGGCGGAGCCTGGGTGAGGGGCGGGGCTAGGGCGGGGTTCGGGGAGGATCGGGGGAGGAGCCAAAGCGAAGGCGGAGAGAGCAGAGGTAGGTAGCCACGGCTCAGAGAAAAGCACAAAACGGAAATGACTTTGCTCCCTAGAGGCCGTCTTGGGGAACGCCCGGTCGGTCGTCCAGGTTTGGCTTTCAAGTTTGACCAGCAGAGATTGATTGATTAATCCGAAGGAGTTTTGTGGAATTTTAATAATTTTTAAAATGAAAAGGTAAATTTAAACCGGACCCGATCGTGCATTCCTGTAATCCCAGCACTCAGAAAACTGAGGCAGGAGAATGCTCACCAGTGGCAGGCCACCCTGGACTATATAGCAAGACCCTACCTCAGAAAAATCAGTAAATTTAGCGTTCTTTGAGAATCGAACAGATGAACTGCATTTGATGTCAAGGAGAGCTCGGTGACTTTTAGTACTCGCTCTGCATAGCTGAACTTGCTTTGAAACATTTCTGATTGTCTTGGGAAAAGTTGCAGATCCCTCAGTCTTCCTCCAACAGATGAAAATATCTGATTAAGACGCTGTTCACCAACTGAACTGGAAATCGCTTTTATCAGAGAAAGCATATCTACACCAGAAAGCAGCTTATTAAATAAAGCCCATATTAAACTGCCCACTACTGATGAGTTGCCTCTGGATCCACCCAGACGTCTAGCTGTAAGCATTTCATCACCAAGTATTGACATATTAATAAGAACTGAGGAATTCGGAGAAGAGTTTCAGAGAGCGGGATGTTAAAGTAAGTGTGTGTGTGTGTGTGTGTGTGTTGGGGATGGACACCGAGGCATTCTATAAGCACTCTTCCACTATATCTTAGCCTTAAAGAGGTCATTCTTAGTCTCTGGCGTTTAGGAGACATACTATATGATATTTGATCTGAAATTATCTTTCTGGCCTGGGTCACATATAATAATACTCAGAGAACAGAGGAAGCCAACAGGCGCCATACAAGCAGAAGACACCAGACAGAAGGAAGTATTGACCTGAGATTAGTCCTCAAAGGTATGAGCAGTCACCATTTGACTTCAACATCAAGAATGACTGTGTTAGCCTACCCAGCATGCATCACTGGAAAGACAAGCTTTCCTGCTCTAACCAGAGCCAAGTCATCCTTTTCCTGACTCCATGTGAATGGGGCCGGTGTTTCACAGTCTCCATGTTTAGAGGACCCTATTTTGATGTACTGCTCTGCTATATAAATGTTTATTTCATTTATGAATGAATTTGTTTGTTGTGTGTACCTATACCCATTCAGGTTTAATAGTTCAAGTTCAATACAGAGGTCAGAGGACAACTTGCAGAAATTGGTTCTCTCTTTCCACTATGTGGGTCTTGGGGATGGAGCTCAGGTTTTCAGGCTTGGAGGCCAAGTGCCTTTAGCCAGTGGTCCATCTTGATAGTCCCTATTAATAAGTTTTGAACAAATGACCCTACATTTTCACTTTGTACATTAAGAAATCAGTCTTACCCTCACTATCCATCTTATATTTTCACTATTCTATAAGGAGACTCTATCTATCCCAACTTGCTTTCTATTGTAATAGACCATGACCAAAAGGAACTTGGGGAGAAAAGAGTTTATTGCAGCTGACAATTTGTATATAGTTCCTGCCCTGACTTCAAGGGAAGCAGAGGCCATAGAGGAAGTCTGCTTGATGGCACATGTGCCTACCTTGGGCACATAGAGTATAACCAATAATAAGTGGACCTTCGCTTCTCTACCCCTCCCCCAGTAGTATTTTCCAAGGTTCCTTCCCACTGTAGCATGCATGAGCACTTCTCCTCTTTTCTTATTGAATAATACTTTTACTTTGGTGGAATTGCATGTGATGGGGAGGAGGGAGGGACAGAGAATGAGAGACAGGGAGGGAGGTTTGTTTAGAACTTGCTGGGTAGTTTAGGATAACCTTGAACTCCTGATTGTAGCTGGAGAGCTTCTCTCCAGGTCCCACCAAGCCCCTGCAGTCCCACAACCCACATATAAAATAAACACACAGATGCTTATATTATTTAAACTGTTTGGCCTAATGGCTTCTTGTTAACTGTTCTTATATCTTAAATTAACCCATTTCTATAAATCTATACCTTGCCACGTGGCTCGTGGCTTACCGGCATCTTCACATGTTGCTTGTCATGGCGTGGCTGGCAGTGTCTCCCTCTCTGCCTTCCTGTTCCCTCAATTTTCCTCTCTGTTAGTCCTGCCTATACTTCCTGTCTGGCTACTGGCCAATCAGTGTTTTATTTATACAGAGCGATATCCACAGCACCTGATCTTCATGTTTTACTTTCCCAGTTCAGGAGATTAGAAGCACGCACCACCATGCCTGGGTTAAGTGATGTTGGGAATTCAACCAAGGGTGTTGTGAAAGCCAAGCAGGCACTCTACCAACTGAGCTACATCCATGTTCTGGATATAAAGTTTTTATGTTTTGTTTTGTTTTTAATTCTTCATCAGTTGATGGGTATTTTGTTGTCTCTACTTTGGGATAATGAGAATGGTGATGCCGTGAACTTTCATATATTGTTTTATGTGGTCTGTGTTAATTTATCTTGGTCATACATGTAAGACTGGAATTGTTGGGCCATGGTGTAGCAGGAATCTTAAAAGTTCTTATTAATAAAATCAAACCTGAGGCAAGTTATTGGGGTCAATGCTGGTAGATCAGAGAGACAGAACAAGCCACAGCTATCTCACCTCGCCGGATCCTCAGCTGGTCTTGTCTCCTCAGACTGGAGGCCTCTGAATCCTCATCCAGAATGGGTCTCAGCTGAATTGCTGTTCAAAAGCCTGAATGCTTAACCAGGCCAAATGCTTAACCAGCCAAATGCTTCTAGTTTCTGGTCTTCATGCCTTATATATCTTTCCTTTCTACCATCACTCCCTGGGATTAAAGGCTCACTTCTTGGGATTAAAGGCGTGTGTCACCATGCCTGGCCGTTTCCAATGTGGCCTTGCACTCACAGAGATCAGAGGGATTTCTACCTCTGGAGTGCTAGGATTAAAGGTGTGAGTGCCACCATTTTCTAGCCTTTGTATCTAGTGGCTGTTCTATCTCTGACCCCAGATAAATTTATTAGGGTACACAATATTTGGGGGAACACAATACCACCACACCATGGGGTAATTGTTTAATTACATAGGAAAGTGGCTGGAAGCTGAAAAGAAAATGATCTGGTTGTTCCATATCCTCGTCAAAATCTTGTGTTCTTACTCTTAGTTTTGGTCATGCTGGGGTGAGCGGTGTTATCTCACTGTGGCTTAAATTTTTATTTTCATGATCTTTAATATGTTGAACACTTTTTCTTTATCTTGTTACTATTTTTGTAAAGTATTTACTTCATTGTCTTGCCCATTCTTAAACAGGATCATCTTCTATTATCTATATTATAATTATCTTTGGTTGTTCCAAATCACCTCACAAATTAAGCAGCTTAAAGCAGTAACTTTCTCCTTCCCAGAGGCTCAGGAATCAGAGATTAGCCAGGTGATGCGAGCTCAAGGGCTCATGAGGTTGCAAAGTGCTGGCTAGGATTGAAATCTCGACAATCCCCATCCTCCCGCCAAGAGGAACCACTTCCAAGCTTCAAGTCCTCACTCTGTGGACCCATCCAGAGGACTGCCCACATGCAGAAGCTGCTTCAAGTCTGTGGACCTGTCCAGAGGGCTGCCCACATGCAGAAGCTGCCTCCTTCCGGAGCAAGGTGTCCTAGAGAGATAACACCAACACAGAGGCCAAGGTGTTCTATAACCTAATCTCGGGAGCAATTTACCTCGGTTTATTCTATTGGTCACACAAGGCAGCCCCAAGTTCATACAGAAGGTTTGGGTACTAGGTGGCAGAGAGCCTTAAGGACTGTTTGGAATCTGGTTATTACACTTGCTTCTTTTTTTCTCTTCTGGTTGCCAATCAATCATTAAAACATCTCAATCATTTCATTGAAAGATCTTTCAAATCCCCCTGCTCAACACCCCACATCTGTTGTACTAATCATCCCTGTATTCATTCCAAATCCACCCACTACCCCTACTTCAGGCACCACTCAGTATGCATTTCACATTACAAACTATTAATATATCAAGTTTTGTTTATTATTCAGATTTGTTTTATTATTCAGTTATATGTACCTATATTGCTAAGACTAGACACATGGGGATATTGAGCCATTGACATGCAGCTAGCTAATCTCACTGAGGAAACAATACAAAACAATTTTGAATTCAAGCAGTATGAAAAATATATTTAGTGCATTTAAGTTGACAATATTTCAGATATACTGAGTTTAAAAATGTTATAAAAATTAACTTCCCATGTCTCTTCATTTTTAAGAAACATTTTAAATTTTACATGTGATTAAATTCTATCTGTATTAACCAACAATGGCCTATCGCATTCAATTCCAGCTGACTGATTTGGGCCCAAAAGACTCTAGGCTCCACCTTACGATTATCTGCCCTTGTTTTCCACTTACTCTTCTTACTCTTACCGCATATGTCCCTCCTGGAGGTCCCTGCTCACCTGGTGACTTTCTGTCCCTCTGCCTTAGCTCACACATGCCTTATATCACAAAAACTGTTCTGCTGTTATCCTTTCTAAAGACTATCCTGACATCTAAACCTGATCTTCATGAACTCTCTTTACCCTAGCTTGCATTGAGCTTCCCTTTTCTGAATCTGAATTACACTTCTAATATGTAGACGAATTGCTAAACAGTCTTATTAAATAAAAAACAAGGAGCCAGAATTTGGGATTAAAACCTGAGAGATCAGAGGAGTAGGAAAAGCCACAGCTAACCTCACCTCACCAACTCCGCAGCTTCCAAGGAGACCTACTTCCTGTCTACCCACGCCTATATGCCTTGCTGTTCTGCCATCTGATTTGCTCTCTCTGTCCAGCTACATCACTACCTCTTCCTGCCCAGCTCTGTCACTTCCTGTCTGTCTGTACACACCTCCAGACCTCCATGGTTAACTAGTGTTGGAATTTAAGGCGTGTGCCACCACACCTGGCTCTGTTTCCAGTGTGGCCTTGAATTCACAGAGATCCAGACAGATCTCTGCCTCCTGAATGCTAGGATTAAAGGTGTGTGCTACCATTGCCTGACCTATATGTTTAATATAGTGGCTGGGTTTTTCCTCTGATCTCCAGGCAAGCTTTATTTATTAGAGCACAAATAAAATATCACCACACTAATAAGTATAGCTCACTGCTGCTTCTTGATTATTTGTTGGATGCTAATTTTGTGTGTGCACATGTGTGTGTGTTCATGCATGTGCAGGTGTGTGTGCACATGTGTGTGTGTTCACACATGTGCAGGTGTGTGTGCATTGATATAAGTGCCTATGGAGGTCACAGGTAAACTATAAGTGTCATTCCTTAGCATCTGTCCATCTTGTTTTTTAAGATGAGTCCACTGGGACCTGGAACTCACTTTCTGGGATAGGCTGGTGAGTCTACCAGTCCCAGAATCTATCTGTCCCTGACTCCCCTGCTCTGGATTATAAGCCTGCTGTATCCCCTGTTTTTTTACATGAGTATTGGAGAACACACTCAGGTCTGCAGATTTGCATGGCAAACACTTTACCAACCAGGCTCTCTCTCCCAAGTCCCACTAATTCTCTTTCCCAAACTACAAATTTGAAGTGTCACTTAGCTGATCATGCAAGAGGTTTTGCGTATGAATAACTCTTACATTTTGATTGGGGTAAACTTGTTTGTGTGGAAAAACATGAGTATAAAAATTGTCAAAATGCAAGTGATCCTTAAGTTAAGTACCTATGTCGAAGATGATCCAGAAGCCAACATCAGGATTGAATGACCCACAAGGATGTAACTTATCCAGTGAGTGTGGTAGTCTTAGTGTACCCCTAAGACTTAGACCAACTGTAGAAGGATATGAGGCCCCCTGCTTACAGATAGCAATAGAGAAACAAGAATTATTAAACACTCGGGCTTATATCTTCAGCAGAAAGGGTGTGCATACCTAGTTTCCATCCAGAAGGCTGGGAGTGGTTGCGTTACTAACCTGATGATCTTTGCTATTCTGGAGAGCCAGACTTGACCCTAATCCCCTGATCCTAAGCATTGTTTCTCCATCAATAGAACCGATTCTTGTGGAAGAGGTCACAGGTACCTTGCAAATGAGTTTAATGTAGCCATGCCTTTTTGTTGTGGTGATTGCCACAAGGAAACTTTTCCCCAAAGTTGTATTGTGTTTAAATATGTCAAAAAACAAACTGCTCAGAGTTAGACTCCAGAAGTTTGAACAAGCCCAGTTAAGGTGTCCATACTGAACTGGGCTTCCTTCCTGCCTCTCATAGTTCACTTCTCTGCCAGCTCTAGAGCCTGCAGGGACCCCCACAGCCAACCGAGGGTGCACAGACTGTGGACTACCTGCATGAAGTTCAAGGGAATGGGATAACAGAGCTGGAGGCTTGCAGTTCTCCTTGTCTATCACAGATACGTTTAGAAAACTTGATTCAGTGGCTACCAATGATGACACTGAGCTCAATCTATTTTTCCCCCAAAGACATGCATATCATTCTTTATGTCATAAGATGAGAGATGTTGTAATATGACTCAACAGCACTTCTCTTCAGGGGGTTGCCATTTTCTTATTCTACGTGTGTAGAGGAGCAGCCTGATGGAGCCTAAGGTTTTAGAGGTGCATGAGGCTGAGTAATGAAATCTTCTGGTTCTTTCTCCTTCTTGCTTAATACCTACAAGTAAGCTAAATGAGCCTTTCTACAATCAAAATATGTTAATATGTTGAAACACTTTTTTATTGAAAATATATTTTATGTTTCCCCTCCCCTAACTTTCCCCAGAGCTTCTCCACCTCCCTACCCACCCAACTCCATGCCTTCTTTCTCTCTCTCTTTAGAAAACAAACAAACAAAACCAAATCAGAATAAAGAAAAAACACAATAAACACACACACAAGCAAAACTCATTAAAACACAAAATCAAAACCCACAGTATATAAGCAAAAGACTAATAAGACAAACATTTCCCAAACAAAGCAATATGAGACAAGAAGTCTATAAAAACACCATTGAAAAGTTTGTTTTGTGTTGGCTGTCTACTGCTGGGGATGGCGCCTGCCCTTACTTATGTTTATGTACTCAGTGAGACTCCATTGGAGAAAAATACTTTTTCATTTGCAAGTGGATATCAATTGGCGATAGCTTCTCAGTTAGGGATGTGAGTTCATGTCCACTTCCCGCTCAGCACTGGGACCCTGTCTGGTCTGAACCCGTGCATGCTGCCAGTTTCTGTGAGTTCATATGTGCATCAGTCCTGCTGGGTTTGGAAGACACTGTTTCCTTTACGGCATCCAACCACTTGGGCTCTTGCCATCTTTCTACCTCCTCTTCTGCACTGCTTCCTGAGCCCTGAGGGGAAGGGTTTGATGAAGACTTCCCATCTAGGCTTGATACCAAACCCTTGCACTTTCTGCACATTGTCTAGTTGTGGGTCTCTGCGTTAGTTCCCATCTACTTCAAAATAAGCCTTCTGTAATAACGACTGAGTGTGGCACTCATCTGTGGGTATAAAGAGTGCCATTAGAGTCATTGTATGGCTATGTTCCTCTAGCAGAACAATAGTATTTGGTTTTCCCCTAGGCCAATGGTCTATCTAGTCTCAGGTTCTTGGCCGCCCAAATAGTGTCAGCCATGGGTTCCGTCTCATGGAGTGGGCCTTAAATCCAATCAGAGAGTGGCTGGTTAGTCCCACATAGTATCACTGTTACACCAGAATTATCATGCAGGCGTTTCCTCATTGTAGATCACAGGGTTAATAGCTGGGCTGGCAGTTTCTTTTCTCCTCTGGTAGTGTACAGAGTGCCTTCCAATACCATGAAAACTAGTCAGTAGAGGCAGAGGCTCTATTTAGACTCCAGCTCAACTTCTCTGTGTTTAATGAGATAGGAAAGTAATTTTTTTTTAATTTTGTTTTGTTTTCAGCAATAGAGCCTTGCTGTCCATTTGTAGAGAGCAACCAGTAGCCTTGACAATACACTAAGTTACTTGGGGGTTTCCATGGGACCCCTTTGGCCACCAACTCTACTAGATGTAACCCATTCCTGGCAGTTAGATGTTTCACTTGGTGGCAAGAGATGTCTAGTTGGGGCATTATTTCCCCCATTCTTTGATGACTTTAGATGTCTTTAATATATGTATGCATTTTAAGAAGCTTCTACAGTATTGGATCTCCATATAGTCCTTCCAATGGCCTTTAGTGTTTCTTGTTCCTCCTCACACTCCCCTCCTTACCTTTCCTTTCCCTCCCCTTCCCTCTCCTTCCATTCCCTCCTCTCCCCTTCCTCCCCTCCCCCTTCCCTCCCCTCTCTCCCCTCCCCTCCCCTTCCTTCCCCTCCCCTCCCATTCCCTCCCCTCCCCTCCCATTCCCTCTCCTCCCCTCCCATTCTCTTCCCTTCCCTCCCCTTCCCCATTTAACCCACTCTCCTCCTGTCTCTCTGTAACTGTGTCTTCTATTTCCCCTTCTCAGATTTCCAAAGGCCTGGGAAGCCACCTTACAGGTATTTAAGTGGAACTATGACGTAGTCAGACTTGAACCCATCAGCCTCACTCTGAAACACATCCAGTGTATCAGAGGAAATGCATCTGGCTTCTCACACTCTTCCCTGTATCTTTTTACCTTCATTCCATCTTGACTTGTAAGAGATTTTTCCTTCCTTGGTTGGACCAATATCAACTATACTTCATAGCATCATCCCACGAAAGTATTTTGACACAGTTATTTCTTATTGTTTTTCATTTTTGTGCTAACTGGCCAGTTAGGTTCTCATTTTTTGAACTCAAGTAGAGCAATTTGATTGAGTCTGTTGTCGCTGTCTTTTACGATTGAGTTTTTATGAGCCTGAGTGTTTGCCTGCACACACGTCTGTGCACCCCATGGTGACCTGGTCCCTCTAAAGGACATCGGATCCCCAAGAACTGCAGTGCGGACAGTTGCAGGTTACTATGTGGGTGTTAGGGACTGAATGAGAGTCCTCTGTAAGAGCAGCAAGTCTACTGGACTGCAGAGTCATTTCTGCAGTGCCAGAGCTTGTTTTGAACTGTGAATGGGCCACGGTGTCCATGAGGTTTAATCATCTGTTTGACCCCTGGGGCTGTTCATAGGTTCCAAAGTGATGGCATCTGTCAGGCAAGGATGATTTAGTTTTCAGGTCATCGACCAATTCTCATGCTCACAGAATCACTTTCAACAGCAGCCAGTGTAATAGGAACATTAATAAAGTAGGGGAAACTTTTAAATGGTTTCTGTTAAATAAAAGAAATATGTATATGTCCAGGAACATTCAAGAGAGGTGAGACCCAAAATATCAACAGTGTACAGCTGTGGAAATGCATGACATGCTTCTTACTCACACTTACATGTCTTATTGTTCTACTTAAGAATGTGCAGTTAGCAAAAGCAAACACAGATTTAGATTTTATTTATTTATGGACTTATTTTTATGAATATAGGTTGTCTGCATATATGTCCATATATGTCCCAGTGCCCACAGAGGGCATCAGATCCCCTGGGACTGGAGTTATAAACTGTTGTGAGTTGCCATGTGGGTGCTGGCAATCAAACTCTGGTCCTTTGGGAGAGCAGCCCGTGATCTTAATAACTGAATAATTTCCCTAGCTCTCAAACTTGGATTTAAAGGCAATAAGGGCTATTATATGTTATATGCCATATTTTTCCTTTTGGGTAGGTAATCCCACAAATCCCTTATGAACGAGTTTTTTTCCTAATGAGTTGCCATTCACCATATATGGTGACTATATCCCATCCATGAAAATAGAAAGACAAGTTTGTCTGTAGGATAGTCCCTCTAAAACAGATTCATTAGAGAAAAAAAACTTTAATGATTGCTTGATTTGCTATATGACATGTCCAGTAATGATGACATTCTCCAGTAATTAAAATTAAAATACATCACACATTTACAATATAAAATATGATGCTGACATTTTAAAGACTATACTGTTTTCAATACTAGCCTTGGTACATAGTAACAATACAATGTCCACATGTCACAGAAGGTCAGTTACATTCATTGTAAAGAATATTTATGTTATGTAGACACAATTTGCTAAGTTTATGAAACTTGTGATGTTAGCAAGTCCCTCAGGGAACTGGGAAAGCAAGGGCCTCTGCAAACTATCACACTAAATGCTTCATGGTTTCTCCAGGAGTATTTGTAGAGACATATGCATAGCAACATTATATGCAAGGCATATAATCCATGTGCATAGATACATAATATAAATTTTAGAGCACATGAATGTTTCATTCTGGATTTCTAAATATCTATATTTCTTTGGGGGAGGAAAAATAAAATTAAATGTGTGTTGAGTTGGTATGCTCTTGCCATGTACAGGAAAAACCTTGAGTACTTTTCTAAATCTTTTCATTGTTCAAGTATTTGGTATTCAGAAAGTTTCTACTAGTCATTTGCCATTCATTCTCTTCCCCCATGGAAGATAAAGAGATAAGGAAAGAGAAAATTGTAATTATTGGTATGATTATTCTTATATTGTTATTATGTTCAGAAACCCTCCACTGAAACTCTTCCATCCAAAATCCTAAGTCAACAAAAGAAAAAAGTGACTCATCCCACAATACTGGTGGCAAAACTGATTTAAATGTGTGTGATCTCTGTTTATATTTAGAGACAAAAAGACAGTGGAAGGCATGGCAGCAACATTGTATTTTTAAGGCAGCAACATTGTAAGTTTGCGGTGGGTGAAAGACTTATGGAAATTGGTATCATCAAGGATCTATTTTCCCTAGTTTTGACTTTGATATCACCAGTGATACAGATTAGAGACAGAGGCCGTGATGCAGGACCTGCTCTCACACTGGATAGCACGCTGGGGTCTTCACATGTCTTTGTGAGAACAGACAGTGTGAAAGAGTAGAGAACAGAAAATCAGAGATGGGAGATCCTAGCAGGGGCTGAGAACTCATTTCCTTCTCATCTTGATGTCAAGCAGTGGTCTACAACCCTCTTTTTTATTTTTTATTTGTTTTTTCGAGACAGAGTTTCTCTGTGTAGTTCTGGTGCCTGTCCTGGATCCCACTGTAGACCAGGCTGACTTTGAACTCAGAGAGATCCACCTGGCTCTGCCTCCCGAGTGCTGGGATTAAAGGCGTGTGCCATCACCACCCAGCCTACAAGCCTCTTTGAATTTATTGGACCTGTAGAAACAACTGTATTTGTTATTTTCAAAATAAAATTTAACTGTATAAGTCAATTAGATAATTAACTATTCACAATCATTTGGAGAATAGAAAAAAGTAAAACAAAGAATAGGAAGTGGGTAAAATGACTATGAAGGAAAAAAACTGTGAAGTTAGTTTTTTTTAAAAAAAAAAAAAACTGACCAGTGAGGGGGTCCCTGCAGGTGTCATACAAGAAATTGAACCCCCATGAAGAGAGAAGACTGAAAACCTCCTGCAGGTTGACTTTGTCAGCCTGGATCAGACTTCAGGGGGTCTAATGAGAGGAGGTTTATTCCCAATGTATTTAAGTTCAGTACAATTAAAAAAAAATGTTTCCTGGTGTAATAAGATCCCCACTGCACAAGGAAGCGTAATTACACTGAAACTCAACTCGGTACATGCCATTTCTTCCAAGAAGATGAGTTCTAGAGATAGGCTACCTGTACTAGCTTAAGGGCCTAAAGGTCTGCTCTGGTCTCTGTCATACAGATATGTAGAGGTCACTTGGGCTGTTAGCCACCTCTGATCCTGGTTGTGGGAGCTTGGGAGCACCTCTGTCTATAAGGGTCATTTAGATTACTAGCCACCTCTGGTCCTGGTTGTGGGAGCTTGATATGGCCTGGCCCAACAGATAACACAGATCACCAGGCAGTTAATCATTTCCAATTTTCAGCTTTCTTGATGGAAGAACAGGTTTTTCGTCTTTCCCATTGGAAAGACAATCCCGTGTGCTTAACATTCCTGGTTTCTCTGAAGATCTGTGGGCACAGGGACGTTAGTGTTGTGCTCCCAACAGACCAGAATCAACTGGATGCTCCTCCTGATTTTCCAGTATTTTCCCCACTCACAGGAGTTAGAGGAAACACTAGATAAATCACACCTAAGCAAATATTTTTCTACCAGTACATTCGACAAAGAGACTGTGAAAAAGCATACAAGATCAAATATTTTATACGTATAATCATTCTGAAAAGTAACATTACTTTAAGCTCTGGGGGATCAGGGTCATGATGGTGCCCAAACATACTTACAGTGGACTCAGCAGCAATAACCAGGCACTTTAAAGCCCAACGTCACAGCCACATATGGGGGTCACAAAAGAAACTGGCAACAATAAAATTTTTTGAATGCACAAAAGCCAAAAAGTAATTCAAAATAAAATCCACGATGAATCTAACGTGTTCCTGACAGCGCTCCCCTGTATGAAAGCTCATGATGTCACCAAACCTCAGCTCAGACTTGCAAATATTGTATGTTATAAATAATAGTGTTCTCACTGGACCTACAAATGTTTCTGTTCTTACAGAAACAATAGTTTAATTACAGAAAAAAAAACCCACCTTGACTATTTTTCTACCAATATTTCTCAACAGATAAGTAAACAATTCAGTAGATCTGTGGATTGCTTGGAATGTTTGATTTTTTAAAAGTCACTGTTTGAATTGCTGACTTGAGATTCATAAAACAATTAAACAAATTTGACCTGTAATTATAACAGGATTTCCAGCAATTCTGAAATGGTCCCAAACATACTTCTGTCATTTTATTTTTTAGATATGCAAAAAACTCTAGCATTCTCAGCTTTGCTGATTATAAAATCAGAATATTGATCAATTCTGAAAAATATTGAAGATGGATGCTCTGTGTCCTGTGGTATCAAAAATTCAGCCAAGATTTAATTCTTATATAGAAATAAACAACTACATTAATCTCATTGGTATGCAAATTTGCATTATTTGGTTAAAATGGTTGCTTATGCCAAAGATTTTTTGGTATTTATGTTTTGTTTTTTCAAAGAATTATTTTAAAATTTTTTTTTCTGTTTTATTGTCAGTAAATGTGTGGTTTAAGCGCCTAGTTTATATATCTTATGTATACCCAAAGTCACATTAAATATTTTTCAGGCAAAAAGGGTTGAAAGTAGAAAAAGCTTAAGAAACTGCTTGGGATCACAAAAGCAAGAGTTTTGGTAAATTTCAAAGTCAAAAGAACCAGCATAGGAGAGAACCCTGCCCCCCAGCCCGGTCTTCTCTTGCCCTTCCAGAATGATCTGGTGACATGCAGTCTAGAGACACCACAGGTATGGTTTAGGAAAGGAATTTGATTCAGTGTACAGATATTTTAAAGAAACCCTTTAATGTTTTATTTTTAATACTTAAGAAATAAATGCATTATTTTCTATGAAATTAATTTATGTTGATACTTACCACAAAATATCAAAACATAAACAAATTGTATACAGTTCTGGAAACAAAACTAAGGAAACTCATTTTGAAGCAAAATACATAAAAAGAATAATTAGAGCATGAACATTCAAGATAACATACTTTGAATTGAAATAGTTTCACAAACTAATGAGCACAGAGGAAACCCCACATAAGCTCCTGTTAGAGTCCTCTGTGGAAAGCTAAAATAAACAAGAAAATGTCCAGGAAGTTTAAGAAAGGAAGGAAATGACTCATTGATAATCTTCTTGCTGCAGAGGAAAACCTCTGTGCCAGACAGCAGGGAAGGTGGCCCCTCCTTGTCAGAAGCTGGGTCAGACATTCAAAAGGGGGCATGCAGATGGCCCAAGGGGAAAGGCATCCCAACACCCCTTCCCAGAATTTTCACTCTTAAATTCCAACCTGCAATTTCCTTGAGACACGGAAGAGCTGGAATCCCAGGATCCATGTACTTCAAAGCTACTGTGTGGTTGTGAGGGAACTCAGTGAGCATCCCTGCTGTGGATGGGCAAGTGGAACACTGTAATTCCCATGTTACCAGGTCGACATTGTACCCAAGGCCTGGTGAGACCTGGAAAAGAGAAAACATTATTTCCAAGTATAAGGATGTGACTCTAAATATATCTATCATGACTTGTCCATCCTCTGCTTTTGACCTTTTAACTCTTAGCTGAAATACCTCATTTGATCCCCTCTAGTTTATACAGCTTAATAACTCTGCCCTTCTAAAACTCCAGTTTTAAATAGTCTATCTACCACAAATGTTAAGGAGTCCTCTCTAAAAGTTTCTTTATTAGTAGCTCACATGAATCTGAGTTTCATGAAATTCAATCTTTTCTAAGATTGATTTGTGTTCATTAACAATGTAAAGGTGGCACCAAAGTAACATAGTACAACGTACGTAGTACACGGACTCACGACGATATCAATTCAAACAGTCTATGCTGTGAGCATCATGCAATTATTCATTACCAAGCCTCCTATGGTAGAGTTACCTTTACATCTGCCTAACAGCAGACATACAGGTGGTAAATGCTGCAGCACTCACCTGGTGAACCACAGCCAGTCACTTCCAGCTGTCCAACAGACAGCGACCAGCACACTATGCTGGTCTGTGTGATGACTGGTCAGTTTGATGCAAGTTTGAAGCGACAGATACAATTTTTTCAAAATATTTGCATATATCGGGGGTGCACATGAGTGTCTGTGCTGTGGAGATCAGGGGGCATCAGATCCCTTGGAGCTGGAGTTACAGGCAGTGGTGAGCTACCATGTGAGTGTGGTGAACAGAACTCAAGACCCTTGAGAGAGCAGCATAAGCTCTTAACTGCAGGGCCACCTCTGAGCCCATTAGATACACTTCTATATAAAGAATATGACAGAGTCAAGAAAGCCTGAGAAGACCTGGACTGTGGCCATTGACCCTTAAATAAGATGGCTAATACACCATTGAAAACTCTTTCAGAAATGGAGAAAATGCTCTTCTATAGTGGATAAAGGGCACTTTATAAAACATTCTACGGTGATTTTTTTTTCATCCATATATGCACAAAGAAGACTTAAAAACACACACACACACACACACACACACACACACACACACACACACACACACACATCCAAAATGCCAACAGCTATAGTTTACAGGGTAAGTTGTATTTCCTTTCCTAACAGTTGGCCCAAGAAAGACCACATGTGCTACAGGCAGCGGAGCTATAGGGCAGGGTTAGCCAGGTCCACTGGATCCCAGCTGGTGCCACCAAACACAAGGCTGCGGGGTTTGGCACAGAGGTTTGGCTTTGCTTTGGCTCAGTCCTTCCTTGCTGTGGTTTGCTGCCCCTTTCTGGACAGGAACGTTTGCTCTGTGTCATTGTATGTTGAAAGTCGGTGACTTGCTTTTTTGTTTGTTTGTTTGTTTTTAGGCATTAATAGTTAAGGCAGACTGTGGACTTTCAGTTTTTGCAGTTGGACAGAATCCATTTTTTCACTATGAAGTGTCAATAAGCCTAGAGGGGGTGGGAATGAAATACTATGGTTCAAAGATAAAATGTCCCCCCTGTGTTTGAACAGGCGATCCCCAGCTGTGGCAGCCTCCGATTACCAACATGGCTGAACCTAATTAAACAGCTTCCTAGCTGGTTGAGTTGGAGTAGGTTGCCTAGGAGCTCTCCGTGTGTGGGGGCTTGTACTGAAGACCGTTCCTACTGCAGTGGAGAGCAGGAAATTCCTCTTTAGGCTGTGCTGTTCCCTTTAACAGTCAGCAGCGTTTCCAGCAGTGACTTTGTCCACAACTGAAATTTACTCCTCCTCCTTTCCTGGCCCAAATGCATATTTTCCACACTGTTCTCCTTCACTTTCTGTTCAGAGTTCTCACTGCAAATCTGGATACAAGCGGCAAGAGCAAATCCCATGCTGCTTCAACTTTCCTGCACAAAACCAATTATTCCTCACAAACCCAGCTTTGCTTGCACTTTGCAGGGAATGTGGCCAGGCCTTGTAAGAATCTAATACAAATGGCTTTCAGGCCAGTTCCTTCACCTAAAGCCCCCCTTCCCTTCAGAAACCTCTTGAGAAGTTTCTTTCTGGTCCATCTTTCTATTGGCATTCTGCTCTTCTACAGAAGGGCCTGTTAAGCTCTGCATACAATGTTCTAAGGCTCCTGTCGCCCACAACTCCAAGTTCTTCCATATTCCTACGAGAGAGAGAGAGAGAGAGAGAGAGAGAGAGAGAGAGAGAGAGAGAGAGAGAGAGAGAGAGAGAAGAACAAAAACCAAACCAAACAAATAAAACAAACAACAACAAAACCCCAAAAAGACACAGAGAGGCTGGTTACTGGCCAGGCTCACTCCCCACCACTCACTTCTTCCAGTGAGACCTCCTGCCCAACGGTTCTATAACTCTCCAAAAGAGGACCCCAAACTAGGGATGAAATGTCCAAACGTGTGAGCTTGTGGGTAACACTTTACAGTTAAGCCATAACAGTCTGACAAAGATATTAAAATGATGATAATACCATGTGAGTACTGGAGCCAAATTTCCAGGTTCAAACAGTCTCACCAAATACTACATAGTTGAGCAAATTAACCCCTTTACATCTTAATTGTCATAGAAATATTTCTTTATATTATAAAAATTCTTTGTAATGTAATAATAATAAATACATATTTCATTATAAAATACAAACAACTGTAATAACTACCATGAGACTGGGGTAAGAATTAAAATTTTTTATGGTTATTATTGTGTGTGCATGTGAGCACACACATGTACCGTGGCATACGAGTAGAGGTCAGAGTTTTGGGAACGGGTTCTCTCCTTTCCCCATGTGGGTACCAGAAAGCAAACCGAGGTCTTCAGGCTTGGTGGCATCTTTTTTTTTACCTGCTCTGTCCTCTCACCAGCCGTGGTAGAGGTGAGACTTGCCAGTTACACGGCTGTCACAACAGTCTTACAGCGGCAGGAGACTGTTCACGGCCGTCGAGATGGCGTCCACAAACATGGAGTTATAAGTATTTATGGATTGACATCTAGGCCAGGTTTGGTAAATGTGAGTGGCAAAGTTGACAGATAAGAGGGGACAATGGGCCCTGGTCACCAGGAGCTTGCTGTAGTATTACTGGAGAGCAGGAGCTAACGAAGGCTTCTAAGCAAGCAAGCGACTCACTGCGATATATGTTGTAGGGTGGTCCCGCAGCAGCAGCAGAGAAGTGGGCTAGATTCATAGCCCCGACTCTACCCCCTCTCCAATTCTGCTCCTGGACAAAATTCTTCACCTTCCATCTACTTCCTCTAAATATCAAATTTATATTATTTTTTGATATTGCTGTCATAGATCTGATTTCATAACTAGTAACAGCAGTAACAGCAAGGAGGAACTTGAGAGAATGGATTTAAAGGACAACCTGAGAATCTAGGCCTGGTGGAACACATCAGTACTCCCAGCGCCCAGAAGGCTGAGGCAGGGGGTAGGACCGTGAATTTGAGGCCAGCGGGGGTTATAAAGAGAGACTCTGTACGAGTAAAACTAGATAAAATAAAAAGATGATCTGAGAGAGAAGGCTGCATCCACTGAGCCTGCAGAGGGAATGAAAGCTGGAAATGGGAGGGACCTACAGGAGCCAGCTGAGTTACTATGGGCTCTGTTTTTCACAGTACTGCCCCAGGCTCCTGTCCCAGTGGCTCCTTGTTGCTCAGAGTCGCCATCACAGTACTGCAGATAAATGGCGGTGTGGGGGAAGGTAGATGAGAAAACCTGCTAGTTGGAACTGTGGAAGAGCGTTCCAGTTCCAGCCACCTCCTGCAAGGGCAACCTCTTCTGCAGGCTTCTTTGGGGCTTTGCAGGGTTGTCCTGCACTGCTTGTATAAAGTAAAAAGGGCTGTAACGCGCTGCTTTAGAAGGCCCAGTGCACTCAGAGACCCTGAGCCCGTTCTATCCCAAAGTTTTCTGTTGCCCTTTTGAAATTCCCACCCTTGCTGCCCATTGTCCATCACCATTCATTCCTGTTCCAACCTGCCATTCCCAACTATCCTTAAGGCACACCGAGCACTACTTTCAAGGGATGCAACGAGAAGCACCCAAGAAGCGCTTCCTGCCTGGCTGGCCCTTGGCCCACATAGAAGGCATATATGCCCAGAAGACACTGCTTTGGCTAAACGAACGTGCAGCCACCTAGACACTTCTATTAGAACAAGGATACTCCAATGTCGCTAGCAGGAAGTCCAGCTTCACAGCTTCCAACCCATCTGTCAAACCCACAACATCCGGAGTCCTAATGAATGGAGGAGGAATAGTCTCAGAGTTTGTGGGCAGTTCGGGAGAAATCCGCATGCCATGAACTGTGGATGAGGCGACCGACCCCCAGCTTCCTGGCCCTCCCATGCAATTCACCCTGCTTCACTTGTGACGTCGCGGGCGCCAGACTCCGGCAGGCGTGGGATGCCCTCGCCCGCCCCAGAAGCCAGAGGCGTCACCGCGCCTTTCCACGCCACCAGCCCCGGGGGAAGAGACGGGGCGGGGACCTGGCAGAAACTGGGCAGCACGACTGGGAGCCAGGAGAGGCAGGGCGCCTCCCCGCCTTCGCTGCGGTGACCTCCGCGGTCCTCCCGGCCCGCTGCGACCGCCCCAGGACGCCGGCGCCGGGTCCCCGCGCGACCACCTCCTGGCGCTGGCACTCCCCTCCTCCTCCTCGCCCGCCCCTCCTCCTCCTCCTCTTCCGTTTCTCAGGGAAAGGCTGTAGCCTCCTTCTGGGCTCCGCATCCCCGCTTAGGTAATCCTCTTTCCTGCTTACGCCACCCCCTCCCCGGTGTCCCCGCGCCGGCGCCTCCTCCGCCTCCTCCGCGGCGCATCTGGGTCCCCGCGAGCGAGCGGCGCGCGCTCCATCGCCTCCGCGGAGGGCAGGTGAGTTGGTCTCCGGCCGAAGGCTGCTCGCCTCTGCCGCAGGGGCCTGCGAGGTCCCCGGCCGCTGCAGCTAGGCCGTGCCGGCCTGGCCCTGCCTACCGGGACAGAGCCCCGAGTCTCCAGCCGGGAGGCTCCCGCGCGCGGTCCCTTTTAGCTCTGCAGGAGCCGCCGCCAAGAGATCCGCGCGGGAAGACAGAGTAGCAAGCAACTCTCTTCCCCGGCTTGGTTCCTCTCGGTCCTCCCACTAGCCTCTAGGTTGAATGAGCTCATCTGAGAAAGCTGAGGCCCAGATGCCACGGTAGGTGGCGTAGCTGTGAAGCCAGGGAGCAGTTTGAGAGATGCTACACAGCGTGGGTGTATGTGGAGTGCCGCTAGAGACCCACTAGGTGAGTGTAAAGTAAACAGACCGGGACTATATTTAGATAAATCTCCACCCCTTCGCTTGTAATTCTTTCTACATTTTGAAGTGTGGTCGTGTGAGACGTGCCTAGGCAGCGGATGTGGACAGCATGGGCAGCTGTCACCTAACCCTGTAATACCTGGCTTTGGTGAAATCACATGGACTGTCAGATGTGCGGTGTGAGAGAAAATCCAGGGGAAACATGCAAGCAAGCGCGGGTGTGTAAGCTGCAGATTTCCGTCCTTAAAACTAGGGCCGAGCACATGGAGGTTTGCCCACTGTGTGAGGGTATTCACTCCAAAAGGACAGTGTGGCTTGAGGCTGTGCGGAATGGAACATTTTTTTGGCTCCTTGCCCTTAATTCCCAGTTTCGATAAGTTGATAAGGCTTCGGTCCGCTCCACCTGGTAACAACCTAAGGCAGAAAACAGTCCCCTAAACTACCGGTTGCCCGATGAACTAACTGCTAAGTGACCTCAGCCAGGCCTCTGAAAGTGCAGACCATAAGGGAAAATGCAGGCAATGGCAAAGCCCCTTTTAACTCCTGCACGCACCTGTTTGCGGTTTTACTAACTTACTTTATTTTTTTAAGGACTTTTATGCTACTTTTGAAGTTAATTCTTAGTCATGAGGTAAGCCACACGTTTTGAATAGAATAAAATACCTCTTCTTTGCAAGCTTCTGAACTAAGCCACCGCCTGTTCGGTAACTGCATCTGTAGTATGAAATTCATTACGACTGATCTAAATTATAACTATACGTGGAGTTAAACTATACTTGGAAAGAAAATGTTAATTTCTTTTTAGACACAGAAGGCCAATAAAATACAGGCAATAAAGGCAAATCATTATATAGGCATTTCTTTTATTTCGACCTTGAGTGATAATTAGAAAAAAAAAAAAAAGCCTTATTCTTATTCAAGTACCGAAAGTGCTTGAAAGTTAAGCACATAATCAATTAAAAAAAAAAAAAAAAAAACACCTTCAATTCTAAAGGCAAGAATGGCACATGTGAGAACTTTTGCCAGGTGGGCGTCCTTGTGAATGTCCTTGTTAAAAAACTTCCTGTGTCCTAACGAGGTCAGCAGGACTCAATGTCCATGCGTGTGCCTGGGGTAGTTTGGAAATAAAAGTTTTGCTTCCTGTTTCTCACAACTAGTGTGGAATCACGTTTCCTGCACGTGTCTGTTTATTAGCATGACCTGAGCTAAGGGCAGGTAAAGGAATGACGATCTCAGTAGAAGACTGGGGGGTGACTCACTGCATAAAGTGCTTCCCGTCCCCAGAGCCACACAAAAGGGGGGCAGGCACAGTGTGCCCGGTACCCCCCCATACGGGGTGGAGGTGGGTTCTCAGGACAGACTGGCTAGCTAGAGTAGCTGGATCGAGCTTCAGGTTCGGTGAGAGCCACTACAGTAAACTGGAGAGTGACCTAAGGAGACATCCAGCGTCAACTCTGGGCTTCCACAGGCACACACCTGCATCTGCAAACAGTGGATCATGTGTACACGCACATACACCACATGCACAAAATGATACTCGGTGGCAACTTGGTAATTTCATTCTGGCATTTAGTTAGTAAGTCAGACAGGGTCTGGTGTATCCCAAGCTGGCCTCAAACCCTACCTTGATCTTCCTGTTTCCATCTCAGTAGCGCTAGTCTTACAGCACTAGTAGATTTCTCCACTGACTCGGTAAGCCAGATCAAGCCGGATTAAAAAGCAAAGGACCAGGTATATTTGAACAATGCACTCCAGGGTGAGTCCTCCATCAGAAGTGGCAAGAGAGAAATCACATGGCCGCTCTGAGAGAAGGGGCTTAAATACCCTGTAGGCAGAGGGTTGGGGGTGGGGAGAGCGATGATCCATCCTCCACAAGCTGGGCCCCATCATGGTAGGTGGGGTTTTGAGCAGCTAGCAGGCTCGGGGAGGAGCTGCCGCCATTGCTGAGAATGCAGAACTGGGCTTTTTTGGTGGGTCTCTGAGAGGGCAGGGTTTGAAGAGAGAAAACTGGGGCCGGGCTGGAGATTCCAGCCGAGCATCCTGACCTTCTTGGAAATATAGTTCAAGTCTGGCTACTTCCTGCTGGCATGGGACGATGTGGGGAGGGGGAGTTGGGAGTCTGTGGGCTCATGGTCAGCAGGAGGTGTGGATGGAAAGGCATGCAGTCAACTGCTCCTTGAGGAAGTGGAGAAGTCAAGTTGCTAGGAGAAAAAAATAGATTATTGGTTTTTTTTATTATCATGGATGACTAATTATTAATCTGTATTTCTTAATTATCCATTACAATTTAAATGAGTTACATAAACATAATACCTTAAGCAAGAGTAGAAATATACATACAGTATAACAAAATTAACTTTAAATTTGTACCGATAAACTAACGTCCATAGCAATGCAAAACATTTTAAACAAGGTGTTGCTCTTTTTCCCCTTTATTTATTTATTTTTTTTTTATTAAGAGATTTTTTTACTCATTTTACATACCAACCACAGATTCCCCTCTCCTCCCTCCTCCCACCCCCCAACCCATTCCCACGTCGAAGGGAAAGTCCCCCATGGGGAGTCAGCAGAGCCTGGCACACTCAGTTGAGGCAGGTCCAAGCCCCTCTTCCCTGCACCAAGGCTGTGCAAAGGGTCTCACCATAGGCACTAGGCTCCAAAAAGCCAGCTCATGCACTAGGGACGGGTCCCGA